TTTTTTTTCTGGAGGGTGTGAGTTGGGCGTCCTTTTTGCCGATCCATCAAAATTCCAGCTATTGTTGCACTCCAGTGGTTGCTCTATAAACAGGAAGTGAGACCTCTCATCAGAGTAAAGGCTTCCTGCTGAAATGACAACACACACTCGCACACATGTACTTATTCCCCTGGTTATATGTATGTTCACACACTAACCACACCAGCTTCCCCCTCCCAGCATCTAGCACACACACATATATGCACACATACCAGATGGGAGATGGGTGTGACGGGGCAGTTTCATTAAAAAGAGACAGATCTTCTCTTACTATGCAAAATAAGAACAGAGTAGAGGCAGGGACAGAGAGCGATTGAGATGGCTTTCATGGTGTTAGATTACCTGTCCTTCTCTGAACTAACCAGAGTGAGAGAAACCAGCCGTTTTAAGAAACTTGAGCTTGTTCATAGACTGTGACAATGACCTTAAAGCATATATTCATATTCGTTACTGCATTAAATCCTCTGATGCATGAAGTAATAAAGTCAAAAAAAGAAAAGAAACAAACAACAACATACTTTCTTAATGTTTTTTTTTTTTTTTTTTTTAGTAAAGGGCAATGATTAGTCATGATAAATTGGATCAAATTGCATCCAAAAGTTTGTGGTTACATAATATATGTGTTCACTGTGTATAATTTAATTATATAATTAATTATTTTGTATATCATATGAATGTATTATATATAAATAACACTTAAAATATATGCATGCATGTGTGTGTATGTATATATACAAAATAACTATACACAGTATACACACACATATATTATGTAAACACAAACTTTTATTTTGGATGCGAAAAAAAAAATCATTGCCCTGCATTATTATTTTAAATTCCAAACGACATATCTTAATTTTAAAAAGTAGTTTTTATGTCTTTTTTAATGACCTTTTCCCCAAAATGTTATATTTTGTCAATAATTTTGATAGAGTTGTATATCTGTCCATTGAAGTAGATAATAATGGTAATCATTTACATTTTTTTCATGTAGCAGACGCTTTTATAAAAAAGCGACTTACAAATGAGAACAATAGAAGCAACTAACAATAGGACAACAATATGCAAGTGCTTTGACCCTTCCCAGTTTAATCTAACGCAATACGTGTACTTTATATATATATATATATATAAAGTGTTAGTATTAATGGATCAAGTGTTGAGTATCTCAAAGTATCTGGTTGAGTTGGGCAGGTCATTCCACCAGCATGGAACAGACCAAAAAAAGGTTCAGAGAAAGAGATTTTGTGCCTCTTTGAGTGCAAGTTTCTGGATGGAACGTAAGTCTGAAGTAATGAGTTTAGGTATGAGGGAGCAGAGCCAGTGGTTGTTCTGGAGGCAAAAGTCAGTGACTTGAATTTGATGTGAGCGTCAACTGGCAACCGGTGTAATTTTGTGAGGAGAGGACGTGTTCTCTCTTCGGCTCGTTAAAGACGGACCAGTTGCAGAGGTTTGACAGTATAAGCTGGAAGACCTGCTAAAAGAGCATTACAATAGTCCAGTCTCATTAGAACAAGCGATTGGACAAGGAGTTGTGTAACATGCTCTGATAGGAAGGGCCTGATCCTCCTAATGTTGTATAAGGCAAATCTGCAGGACCGGGCAGTTCTAGCAATGCGGTCTGTAAAGTTCAATTGATCGTCAATCACAACAAGGTTCCTGGCTGACCCTGATGGACTTATGGATGATGAACCTTACTGAATGCAGAAGTTGTGGTGTAGCTTCATCCAGCCAGAAATGTCTGTCAGGCAGGCTTGTCATAAAACCTGAATCCCATTTCGCATACTATCCATTACATTTACATGTTTGTATGTCTTTTTTTTTAACACCAAGGACCATGTTGGAAATAAGTGTTTACACTTTATCATGTTATCCTTTGGATTATGGTTGTCTGTCCAATCCATAATAAATCAAATCAAATCAAAAAAAATCATTTGAAATGAGAATTAGTGTGTCCCAAATCGTAGTATATTGAAATAAGTATTCCAAAGATACAAGGATGGTCTACTTTTTCCGGTTAGAATCCGAAATGCAGATCTGTGCACACTCTAATAGCTAATAATAGCCACAACCCATTGCGCATTGGACGAGGATTCGATTAGAACTACAAATACAAATAAAAAGTGTTTAAAAACTACAAATATGGTGGATGTGGAATATAAATTTCAGTGAACAGTTAATTAGAGAGGTTAAGATAAACTGGTTTGAGTAATTATTCGGATTCTAACGGTGACGAAAAGATATTTATTCAATGTTATCCACATTATATTTAATCTGCAACAGCATTGTGAACTTTTATAAAGATACGTTTGGTCATTCTTAACCGTTAAATGCGTCATGCAAACATGAGGAGAGTTATGAAAGCCCACAACTGGCAAATCAACATGCTAAAATATTTGGTAGGAAATTAAAAGGGGGTTGACTGCGATTTCACTTTTTTCATTTTAAATAGTGTGTAATGTTGCTGTTGGTGCATGAACAGTATCTGCAAAGTTGCAGCTCTGAAAGTTTAGTGTAAGCAGAGGTATCGTCTTTTAAAAATCAGGAAGTATATTGCCTACAAAAACGACTCCATTGGGACTACAGCTGGGTTTTAGACGTCACTAACCCACATATTTGCATCAACCTCTCCCTCTGGAATATGCAAAAAAGGACATGTGCATATTTCTGCGGCAGCGTGTTGTGTTCACCCAGCTGTCAGGTCGTCTGTGTTCGAGCTTCCCACAGACGCTGTACTTTGTCAACAATGGATACAGTTTATGTTTGATTATGTTCCTGAAAATGACGATCGTAGTTTAGCTTTCTGTGCAGCGCATTTTACGGAAGACAGCTTCCAGAATCTCCTCGAATTCAATGCCGGATTCAACAAGAAACTGTTACTAAAACATGAAGCAGTTCCAACGTTAAAACCAGAGGCAGCAGTTGTTGGGCCACAACCTGTAAGTAGGGTAAGACTTCATCATTTTAAATGTATTTGCATGTATAATTCCAGACGTAGCCTTGTGTTTTATTTTTTTCAAATGCCAGCGCTGGCTTTATAGCCACTAGGCTACTGGTTATGCTATTTTGTGTCTACGACAAATGCGTACAAACATTATGGACCTGAATTTTGTATAAGTACTAATGTTGTAAATGTATTTTTCATGTTTTATGACGTTATTTTCGATTTGATCAAGAACGTAAACTTGCCAACGCTGTTTGAGTATAACATTAGTAGCCAGTCAGTTGCTATTGTTCCCAGTCAGATGCTATTGTGTAAAACAAACGTGTATAAAGTTAAAAAAAAATGTAGCAAATTATCATTCAGAAACGTTTAGTAAGAGCTATAGTATGTGGTGAGGTTCTGTTTGACTCTCTTCATCGCGGCTTTCTCGGTATGATTCTGCCTCAAACTGATACTGCAGTTCAACACATATTTACATCTGGACCGGAGCTCATGACATGCACATTTTGCCCGTAAAGGTAATGGGCGTTAACCTTCCGGACAACGTGAGCAACAGTTTAGCCAATCACAACACACCGGCGGCCGGCCCAAACTATCCAATCTGAGCCCACTGCCTGTTTCTGAGGGAGTGTTTTCATAGAATCAGGAAGTCAACCGCTCGTTCAGGGGACAGAGGAGAGTGAGAGGCTGACAATAAAGGTGAAGTTTATGAAAAATAAGACTTTTAAAAAAATAAAAAACACGAATACATGTTATATTGCACCTCATAAACACAATCATGCAAAGAAAAAAAGCAGTCAACCCCCCTTTAAATTAAATTGAATGAGGATTTTAACTGACAAGATGATTGACAGAGCAGTCCTTTAAATACGCAATTATGATGAAATAGTTTGTCCCAAATCTTGCCAACTATTCCGCTACACACTCAAAAGTATTTAATTTTTTTTTTTCACAAAAACTACATACTTTTAGGACATACTATAAGTGGTTTAATTGGGATGCAGCAAATGACAATCATATATAATTATGGGGATAAAGATTATCACTCATGGTAGTTTGAATGCAAGATCACACCCTGAATAGGTAACAATTGCTTTTAAAGATCTTGTCTCTGTAGTGGACATTATGCATCAGAGGGTAAAGATTAGGATTTAATGTACTTTATAGGACAAATCTTTTTTCAAGATCTGCCCCAGGTATTGCCCTTGCTCAATAAGCATTACAATCACTTTTACTATTGCTCATGCATAGGAATTAAAAAAAAAAAAACCTTCACCCAAAGTATTAAACTTGTTTAAGCTACAGCACCTCAAATCATGTGCTATTGCTTTTCTAGGCATGAATTTCACCTAATAGGTGAAAGGTAGATGATCCAGAGTCATATCTAGGGAGCAAAATGTCAAAGACTTGGGGGAGGGCTCTTTTAACTTGAATGGGTAAGCAAGCAACCACACAGAACACCTTAGCAACCACCTAGCAACACCTCAGGACCCTTTACAACTGGTATGTCCTGGCAACGACCCACAAAACTATAGCAGCATCATGGTGGCTTTTATTCCATGCACAGGCAAGCACCGCTCACATTTTCCATATTATATCTTTAACTCTCTCCCCACCATTGACAGAATTTTCCATAATTTATGACACAACACTTCCCCGCCATTGACACATTTTTTCTCACTTTACGGTAGGGGGCGCTATTACGCATCTTCTGAAAGAGTAAAGAATCTCCGGATCAAAACACACGTACATACAAAAGACGCAGAAACAAGCAATACAAGCATTGCTTATGCATGTTGTAGTGTTTGAAAAAAAAAGTCGACAAATCTTTTTGTTCGAAATGTTGATAAAAACATAATGCGCGAAGATAGAATTAAACTTTTTTTTAAAGAAGTGGATTTGTTGTTTCTTTTGATATGTTGAACGTTGTTCAGATATTCATACAACAAAATGTTCTGGGTGCCATAAAAGTTTTGTGAAAATTATCAAAAAAAGCTGGCGGTGTCAACTTAAAAAAAAAAAAAAAAAAAAAAAAAAAACGCTGGTAGGGAAAGAGTTAAAAACTTGCCACTTTTCACGGTTCTGGTATAATAAACACTATTTGCCGGGGGAGAGTTATCACAGTGTGAATTCAACATTAATAAATAAACAGTTGGAGAGACAATACTTTGAAGGCAATGAGAAAGACATCTGGCTGCCCTGCACACTCTAACCGAGCGATCGTGATCACGTCTCTCGCCAAGGACGCAGATATACTTATGGAGGTCAGGCGGTTCTGAGGAAGAGTATCCCACTTGGGCTGCCATCAAGGGCAATAAAGCATAGAGGCGGTGCAGGGATGAGCTGCACTATGAGAAGTGCATAAAACGCAAGAATTGATCGAATGTTATTGTTTTAGCTTGTTTCACCTGTTTTTAGCTGTTTGAATTGATCTAAAATTGATAAAATGATGGCATTTTAGCTCGTTTTGGGAAGTATTTGGATGTTTTCAACAGTTAGTAAGTGATGACAGAATTTTCAGTGTAATTGCACTGAAAATCAACTCACCTTGGTGTTGTTCGGACCACAAACGTGTATTTAAAAAAAAAAAAAAAAGCTTATGCTTTTATATGGAAAAGGATCACAGAATGATCCCATGTGACACGTGTTGTATATTCCAAGTTTTCTGGGGGTATACAATATGAAATTTAATGTATTATTTAAAGAAAATCCTTACCTTGGCCATTGGTCTTCAATGCACAGCTATGGGATGTGCGCATTTGTGTGACACTGTTAGCGCTGCAGTTCACTCCGTCTCAGCTAGAAAAAGCACACAAGTTGTGAGAAATCAAGATTAACAAAAGTGCGACATGAAATACAACGCCTAGAAATCCATAAAATTGATCTGTCTACTTTGTCACTGAAACCAATAAGCTCCGTTTTGTCTGATGACAGTCACAATGACACAATGTGAACGTGATAACTTCTTGTTACGATGAACACAACTGATATATTCAACTCAGGGAAGGATTGTATTTCGTGTCGGGATCTCTCTCAACTTGTGTGCTTTTTCTGGGCAAGATGGAGTGAACTTCAGCAATAACAGTCACGCAAACTTGTAAGTCGGGTAAATTATGACTTAAAGGTGCTCTGAGTCTAAGCGATGTCGGGTGACGTGACTTCTAGTTGACGTTTAAAGTATTTTCAAACAAAACTGCTAGATAGACCCCCCACATCCAAATCCATCCACAAACCCCACCCCCAGGGCCTTCTTGTCAGTTATTGGCTGGAACAGTTTGTTATGTTTCGTGGAGTGGGTTGCCGCAGTTTGTTTTTGTTGCCATTTGTGAAGCCTGGGTTGTCTGCATAGACCGTTTTTTTACAGTGTGTTTAGGGGACAGGCAGCTAGCGGATAGTGAGGTGATGTATGCTGTATGTGACAAAAATGTTTAGGCCTAAAAAAACGTGTGACATCGCTTAGAGCACCTTTAATTTTCATTTTAGGGTGAACTATCCCTTTAACACCCAGTTGCCACAATCAGGAATCGCTCACAAATCGCTTTAGGTTGCTTTGTGCAATAACATATGCTCAAATGTATAGATGAAACATTGATATGGATTTCAGGGTTTTGATGTGGGGGGTTTTCAATGAATGCCCCACATTTGCAGCCTTTGCAGCCTATTTAACCTTCATTTGTTGAGAAAGTGTTTTGCAAAAAAGAAGGAGAGACAAAAGAAAGAGAGAGAGAGAGAGAAAGAGAGCCTGAGCTGGCCTTACCATGATAATCTAATCCCTGTTCAGAGGGCTTTTTTTAGAGAGCAAGTTAATGCCTTCAGATTATAGTTCAGCTCTAGACCACACTAGTGTATCTGCAAGCCACTTACTGTCACAATAGCACTTCTACAGTCACACAAAAAAATTAAAAACAAGTCAACTGTGATAACAGTTTAAACAGGGTTATTATACAGTAGTTAACTAAAACGACATTTCTCATTTTAATTTAGTTTTGATACAAAAGAACCATAAAATTTGACTTATGCACTATATATATTCCATTTTGATTCATGAACAAATCATTAAGACCAGTTTTGTGAACTAAATCAACTGATTCATTAAAAAGATCTGATACAAAAGAATGATTTGTTCTCAAAAAAGACATCGCTTCTTCTAAATTTCAGCCTGTTAGCCTCACATTGGTTCAGAATGACATCATAAAATGTGGAATGTAGCTCTCATGGACTTAATTTGTGGTGTTTGTCAGCCATCATTCGCTTTTATTCCTTTGAAAGAAAAAAAAACAGTATATTCTTCAAAATATACTTTTTGAATATTTTAAAAATGACATGAAGGTGAGTAAATGATGACATATTGCGATTTTATAGATTGCAGAGAATTGAATTGCAGTTCGCAGCTATCAAATTATAATAGATTGCATTCAAATCAGTTAGCTGCAAAATGTTAATCTGGCCAAGACCAGACAAAACTTATTTGTCTGTTCGAATGTGTACGTGTGTGTTTCTTAGACGAATACGGCCGCATAGGTGTTATGTCATACTGCCATCAGGAGTGCTGCAGAGGCTCAGACTGATATTACATAAGCACTGCTGGTGTCCCTCTCTCATCTCTCTATCGATGCTGTCCCACACACACACACACACACTTGCATGCTTTGGCTTGCACCCAAAACATACAACTCCACCTGTGGACACAAAGAAGCGTTTTCCCTTTATCCCAAACAAGTTTACTGTATATGCCACATTCACAGATCTGCATGAATTATGTACACTAATGTCATCGTGATGATATGACGGCTAGCTGCCTGTCTTAAGTAAAACTTTATAATCTCTACAAAAAGTAATCAAATTAAATATAGCAATATATTGTTTGCCAATAAAAATAGCACAACAATTTTTTATAAAATAAGGTGTTACACGTAGAAGAAAGTCACTGATGTTTGGAATGATATGAGGGTGAGAATTAAAATAGCCCCACATCATCACATACCCTTCGCCATACCTAGAGATTGTCATTGTTTTATTTCAGTCAGCCTAATAGTTGTTTGATTTGCATTGAAAGATTGGAAAGTATGGAAAGTACCCCATGCCAATCTCCAGGTATGGTGAAGGGTGTGTAATGATATGGGGCTGTTTAAATTCTAAAGGCCAAGGGAACTTTATCACGATGCATAGTATCCTAGATTCATAAAATAACTGTGCATTAAAAATAAAAATCCGCCTGACTCTATGGAAATTTAAAATAGGGGTGTCCTGACTTATGCACCCTGTATCTTAAGGAAGAACATTTATTTATTTATGATACATTATTCATACACAAAGAAATTTTACACCATTTCTTTTCTAATTAAGGCATTAAGATCAATTTCCAAAAGATTATTTTTTTATTCCTCTTCATATATATTTTTTTTTTCTCACACCAAATATTGTAATGATTGTTACAATCAGAAAGTGCATTATCTTTTCTTTTTAATAATTTCTTTAGAACAGAATTTTATACAGTCGCAACTTTTAAAGGGATACTTCACCTCTGGAAAGATGAATGTGTATTTAAAATGGGTCATTTATGTATTAGAAATATGAAATTATTTTTGAATTTGGAGCTTTCTAGACTGAGAAAAGCCAGAAAATGTATTTTTGGCTTAAGTGGATGAAAGACAACAACTCCCAGAATGCACTTGCTTCGCTGCCCTAGGAGGCCACGCCTACTGGTAAAAGAGCGCAGTAGTTAAACAACAAGTGTAGGCTACTAGTGAGTCTCCATGATGAGTCCGCCCGGGATTTTGAGATCGCCCAAATCGTCCGGGATTCGGATTTTGCGTTCTACAGTCGCCATTCATTATGTTTACTGTGACGAGCAAGACGAGTGAGGGCCGTGGGAGAACGACGCGAGGCCGGTGGCATGATTACCGATGAGAGACACCTGTGAGACGCACCGGTCTCGTTTCTCACGGAGGAGCGGGAATTTTCTTAGCACTGATAAAACGCACAACAACTGATCTCTTGTTTAGCGTTCATGTAAAGACTACATTCAGATTCACCAATCGGAATGAATTCAGTTAGATTGAAACAAAAGCTGTACATGTAAACAGTGAATGGCGACTGCAGAAAGCAAAAGCTGAATCCCGGACATTTTGTAGGATCTCGACGGCCGGACATGTCCAGGAAAAAGAGGATGGGAACCCCTACTACTCAGCTTTCTCTGAATAATTTACTCAGCTTTCTCCACAAAACAAGAGCCTTCTAGCTTAGCTTCCAAAAAAAAAAGATGGCTGACACTATAATCTCAGAAAAAAGGTACAAAAGCTGTCACTGGGGCTGTACCTTTTCAAAAGGTACACTTTTGTCCATTTTAGGTACTAATTTGTACATTTGATGTGCTAATATATACATTTTATGTGCTAATATGTACATTTTTGGTGCTAATATGTACATTTCAGGTTCTAATATGTACAGTTTAAGTGTTAATATATGTTCATTTTAGGTGCTAATATGTACCATTAAAGTACCAATATGCACCCTTAAGGTACAAAAGTGTACCTTTTGAAAAGGTACAGCCCCAGCGACAGCTTTTGTACCTTTTTTTCTGAGAGTGTATGTGTTCATTCTGTGGGTGAGATCCCACCCTCTATGGACGGGTTGAGAACATGCGGGACAGCCCCTACTACTGACGATTTTTGCATCATCGGAAGATTTTTTCCAGACAAAAAATACATAAAAATCTCTCGTCTCAGGGGGATATGAGGGTGGAAAGCATGGTAATTCGAAAATATTACAGGTTTTCTAATACAAAGCTTAACACCGTGTCCTAACTACAGGCGACGTGATAAAATTCGCATCGCATGCCTGTCCACACTAGACGCGACGCGACTGTGAGATGCCACACATTCAGAACAGCGTGTGAGCATAGTCTCTCTGTGAAAGCGCACTGTTGGCCTGCACTTGCATTGGAAATGGGTAAGGACATAATCAAATCAAGAAATAACATTATTAAAAATCAAAACATTAACAAAATATATTCATTGACTAATTTTGTTATGAAGTACAGTTGTATGTTTGCATAGAATTCCTTTTGAACGCTATATTACATGCTTTCAAAATCTGAGGTAAATTATCCCAGATAGCAAACTGACATTGAATCAACGTGGAAACGACGTCTCTCATGACATTGAAACAACGTTGATTTTGCTCATCGAATTAACGTTGAACCAACGTCAGACGCGGCATTCTTCAAAGCTAAATGAAAATCGAAAATTGGTTTGCTTTCATAACGTTGAAACAACGCGTTGATTTCAAGTTGATTTTCCGTTAGTTTTGAAAGAATGACGCGTCTGACGTTGGTTCAACGTTAATTCGATGAGCAAAACAATGTCAGATCAACGTTGTTTCGATGTCATATTTCCACGTTGATTCAATGTCAGTTTGCTATCTGGGTTATCGCGTGTGGCACAGTGACCTATTTTTAACTAAAAATAAATAATGTGTACTTATAACCAGTGTAATTTCTTCATTCTGTCAGCCGCGACGTCGCAGAAATAGGAACCGTTTCTAAATTAGAAACTTCGCGTGTCGCCGTCGCATCTGTTTAGGACAAAAACTCTGATTAACATGGAAAAGATACCTTTTATCGGGTGTCGCGGCGTCGCGTCGCGTGTAGTTAGGACACGGTGTAATGCTAAATCCTGAAGTATCCCTTTAAGGCTTCTACCTACAGTCTCAGAAAATGTTGTCTAATTTGTTTCAACCAACCTGAACTCTTTTCATTGATATCATCACTCAGGATTTCCAAATTTTTTAGTCAGACATAATGCATACTGGCAGGAAAATAATCCCTCGCTTATTGCTTGTGTAACCGTGTTCTGGCTTTAGGGAGTGGCTTTCTGTACTGACGACGCTGGGAGGTCATGGAGACTCGTGGATCTGCAATCTCTACTGGGGAAACAGTCTGATAATACTGATGACAATGATCTGAGGCCATTATCATTCCATTCATTAGCTGAATTCTGGCTGAGCTTGAAAAACTACTGCTTTTTGAAGAAGTCACTGCAGCGGTGTAATCTCATTAGCACATGAGCATCATACATCAATAACACACACATTGTGCTGTAGGACTGGTTTGTGATCCTGTGTTAAAACCTACAGCCCCTCTTGCTCGGGCTCTAGTGGTGTCTGGTATTTTAGGATTTATCGAACACACACACTGACATGCAACATGTTTGTTTGGCAGGGATGCAACAATTAACATATGTGCACAGGGCACACACATACTAACACACACACTGTTGGCTCACGTTGTATGGTTCAAACCAGGGTGTGTTTGAATAACCATATGTGTGATGGACTGGTTTAGCTCTGTCTTTCACATTAGGATTTACACACATGCACTTTTTTTCTGTTTTTCTCTTCCACAAACACTGGCTCAGAGCAGAGGAGTAGTGTCCAGAGCATGGGGCGTTTGTGCTGAGCTGGACTAGCCGTCAGGTTGAATAAGCGAGCAGACAGTTGATTCGCCATAGCCATTCATCAGCCAGAGAAAAGAGAGGAGGGGAAGAATGGAGCTCTCGCTCAGGGCTGTGTCTCTCAGATACGGGCCTGTATATGTGCTGCTGTTTCTTTCCTCTGAAAGCTGCGTGTTTTTATGCATATTGCATGTTTTTACGGGCACATGTGTTGTTGCTTATGTTTCGGTGGCATGTAAACATGTCTCACAAAGATTTGACATCATTTCTACAAAGACTTTCCTCAAGCATATGGCTGGTCATTAATCATTGATCATTTAATTATGATTTAATTACTTCAGCAGTAGTATGTCACAGAAGTACAGTACTAATAAGGATAAATCATATATTTTGCTAAGCATATTTGCTCCGCCGTACTGAGGGTAGCATAAAGTATATGCTATGGCAACGTAAATTCATTGGTTTTATTTTTAATAAAAAGCTGTTTTTTTTTTTACCAAAACCTTTGGGTCAGACTCAGTACATAAAAAAAAAGCAAGGATGTCTATAAAATTATTTAAAAAAGTGAAAATAAAGACATTTGAAATGTTACAAAAGATAAAATAAAAGCTTTTTTTCTACCTTACCTATTAATAATAATAATAATAAAAAAACTTGACAACAACTATTTTTAACACTGATAATAATAATAATAAAATGTATAAATAATATAAAATGTTTCTTAAGCCCTGATTCAGCTTGATAGAATGATTTCTGGAGAATCATGTGACGCTGAAGACTGGAATAATGATGCTGAAAATTAAGCTTTGCCATCATTTGAAAAATTTTGATAGAAAACTGTTATTTTTGATCAAATAAATGGCTTGGTGTTCATGAAAAAAAAAAAGAAATCAACCAAAGAAATGAAACCAACCAAATTCAAAGAAATGAAAGAGCGATATGTGAGAGTGACTAAATAATGCCTTCTTTTAATATGAGTTAATTGATTCAATCAGCTAATTAGATATGTTGAAGATGCTTACATTATAACAGTTGAGGCAGGGGTAACAGCCATAGACAAGTCAAAAAAAGGTTCCTCAAAAAATCTGAAATGAACAGTGGCTGCATCCTAACTTTTCAATCACAACCACTCTCAGCAACTATAGGGGAAACGTATTTTTGAAGAAGTCGAGTTGTAAATCTGGTTTTATTCCTACTGTATGTAACGTGGTCAGGCAACAGTTAAGTAGTGTTCATTGTGTCTTCATTTCAGAAACACTGCAGAACAAAGGAGCCCTTCACCCTGTGCAAGCTGTATCACTAAGCTTTACATTTCAGCTGAATAGAAACATTTGTGCTCTTTCTAGGTTCAATTTTTATCATATGACCACATCTGTACTCGCATTCCTCATTACACAGACTTTAACTTTGCTGGACATTTCGTGTCCAACCAAGCCCGCTTCTTCTTGGCTTCTCTCGTTCCTTGGTTTCAAACCTGGGGGAATTACTTTTGTTGTTGACACCAGAATATTTTCCCCAATTTAACATGACAAAGTTAGCCTCGGCACCTGCTATCATGCTCGCAAGTGCAAACATCCACCAGGGCCTCCTTATATTGCAGCTGTAATCAGCAGTTGATGGTACCAGGCAAGATCTACTTAGAAATGGGACCGGGAGGGACTTCCCTTTGTCTTCCCCAACCAGACATGCTTCAGACAGGCCTCTAGCGTAGGATGGACCCCTTCATCCAACAATGGCCATTTTGGACTCCCCGGTGCTCAGAGGAGGTATAGACATGAGCTATTGTGACAGTTCTGGTGCGAGTGGCACAATGAGATTGTAGTTTAGGGGGATTTGAGAACTACCAAATCGTTAGTAAGATAGGAAGCCCAAGGAGTTTTGCAAAAATTATGGGTAACAAGTGAGCTTCTTCAGTGATAGATGTGTTCTTTAAATCATTTGGAATAAAAACAAAACACCATTTGCACATTGAGTGGAAATCAAAAACTTAATTTAAGCTTAGTTTTGTTTCATTGTGTTTGTTTTAGGACAGATTATGCATTTAAAGCTCATTGGTTGTAATCTTAAGGAAAAACAAATGTTTAATCTGCTCTCCGTCACATCACAATAACAACAAAAGACAACCGTGCTCTTTTATCTTCTCTTGTCATAATTGATGTCTGTTAGTGGTTTGGTAACTGTCTCTGTGAATTTGGACAAAATGCACAATTTAGTTTAGGATTTGAGTGCACACATGCACACGGACACACACGCAGCGCTCAATTTGAAAAATGCACTGATCCTGCATTGATGGAACTACAAGATGAGATGAACTGTCTGGGGATAAGTAGGTCAGCAGAGCTGAGGTAAGCCCTCTGAGAACAGCCATGTTTCAACAATAACCCCACTGCTGACGTGTGTATATGTATGTGTGTGTTTGTGTAGTGTGTGTCCTTACACATCTCCCAAACCTCTTGGTATCATAGCTACGGTGATTTAATGCTCAGCTCATTGGTTTGCCAAACAGCAAAACACTATTCATTACCAGCTCAGCATGTTCAGTTCCGTTATTATGCGGTTAAGCACCTCATCCATTCCATTGTCATAATGGCTACACTGTTTACTCGCTACCTAACATACAAAATCAAATAATCAAAGAAAATAAATCAGATAAGTAGGCAAACATTGGATACAAGTCAAGATAAATGGATGATGGGACCTCTAGGAAAACTTCCAATTTCCTAAATGTCTCTTCTTTAAATTTCTTACCTGGCATTTTATAGCCCAGCAAGTTAACTTACCGTAAAAGATGAACTGTGTAGAGATGTGTGTTTTTAGTGCTTTAGAATGTGTGTGTTTGTGTGAGGGGGATGCTGGGCCAGCGGTGAAATGTAGTTGGTATATAATGGATTATTGATTGTTGAGAGAGAGGACCAGCCCTCAGGGTTCATCCCAACTGGCCCCTCTCTTGCCCAACACTGAATAGTCTCTTTACGCCTGAGCACACACACACGCACATGGACACACACACAATGAATTTAGGTCTGTGAGCAGACAACCACTGTTCATACTGACTATGAGAGGAGACTAACTGAGACTGTTGTCCTTCAGTCAAAGACTCACAAAAACACACACAGACAGATACGATTATGGGGAGGCAGGGGTAAGTTGTCACACAAACCTTAAAGTCTTGACTAAAAAAAAGGATAGAACTATTGAACATTTCCACAGTTATTGGCTAGAGAAAAAAATATATATACATTGACCTTGATAGTGGGGCATGGTCACAACGATAACCTGCCATTGAGCAGCCTATTATATGAATTATAGGAACTAAATTAAAACTGTAACTAATCATTAAAAAAACTATTCTAAAACAAAAAAAACTATCAAACCATTGTTTTGTCTGTAGATATTATTAAATAAATCATATAAATTTGAAACATTTAAATTACTGTATATTGTATGAGCATTTCCACACATTTGTGTACTTGGACTTTATATTACTAAGATATAAGTTACAGTCCCCCATGTTACAACCTGACACAGCCTCCACTGTAGTGTAGTAAATATTAATTTATTTTTTAACCAAAAAGTGCACAAACTAGATTAACGGAAATGTCAGGTTTGGTATTACAATAAACATTTTGTCAGTCAGCATAACCAACAAAGAAAAGAAAAGAAAAAAGGTTTGCTATGTTTAGATTTGATAGAAAGCAAAACAGAATGGCAGGAAATCCTGATTCTGGACTGGGGTGTGTATGCATGTTGGAATATGTTGCAGTGTATCTACTGTATCTGTGTTCATTGTCTTGTTAGAATAATCAGAGAGCCTGTTGGATAAGTTAGTGAGTTTATGCAATACTTAAAGATGTGCCGTTCCCTCTGACGTCTAAATGAGGACATCAGCAGTCTTTCTCTCTCTTTGTCCCTCTCCCACTCACTTTTAAATGGTGCAGAGCATAAAACCAAATGTACTATGTCCTCTGTTTTTTTAGCTATGCAGTATGGATCCTGCCTTAAACGAATGGATTTAACTGAACAAAAGACTGTCAGATGGCTATATAAAAGGGCTCTGTTAGCTGGGGGTCTCAAACACTGGGTCTAAGTTTCAAGTCTCTACAGTTTTGATTTATATTAAGAATCATTAATAGTAATTTTACACAAAAATATGCATAGTGTACTGTGTCATAGAAATTGCTTGCTACATATGGATTAATGAATAACCTTTATTTACTCATTTGCAAGACATGTTCTCAAATCGGCTTCTGTTGTGTTTCCATTTTCTCTTAGGTGACCAGAATGAAGCAAACGCTCAGCTGTTAAGATGATTCATTGGAGAAAAAACTCCAGACATATTCAAGACAAAAGCAACACTGTCAACACAGAATTACCAACAATGGCACGTCTGACAAAGAGAACTTTTACCCAGACCGAATGACTACAGGCGAGACAGACTTAATAGGATCTAATAAGTTGGACAACAGATAGCACCATAGTGGAATATTTAAGCCTTGAGATGGAGGTGGAACGGCCGGAAGTCGCAGATGAAGAGACCTTCTCCAAGGGTGGACAGGACAACCCGGATGGCAAGAAGAGTCGGGGTCACACTTGTGAACTCTGCGGAAGAAGTTTTCCTTTCCTCAGTTCCTTGTCCCAGCACATGAGAAAGCACACTGGCGAGAAACCATACAAGTGTCCTCACTGTGATCACCGCTCAGCCCAGAAGGGTAGCTTAAAGGCCCACATTCGCAGTCACAAACTGGAAGGCCTCAGCCAGAGCACTGGCGCCGAGGAGGAAGATGTAGATGAGGAAGGGGAAAAAGAAGGAGGGGTGCCAGAAGATCAAGGTGGTTGCTCCAGTCCGACTGAGAGTACCTCAGCCTGCAACAAGGTTGTGAGCGGTGAAGAGGCGACCAAAGCGAGGAAGAAAGGTGGGAAGAAGGAAAGAACCTCCGGAGAGAATGGCAAACAGTCAATGCAGTGCTCTCAGTGCAGGAAAAGATTGCCAAGTCAGGCAGAGCTTGAACAGCATATGCAGGAGCTTCACAAGGTCTTCCAATGTGAACTGTGCCCTTATGAGACCTTGCAGGAGGACCAACTGCAGGATCACATTGAGAAGGTACATCCTATTGAGGAGGAATCTATCACCAAAGAAGTCTCTACCAGCGAGGAAGCTGACGGTGCACTTGGTAAAGGCGAGTTCCCTTGTGAACAATGTGACCAGGTGTTCACCCAAGCCTGGTTTCTGAAAGCTCACATGAAGAAGCATCAAAACAGTCTTGATCACGGTTGCCGGATCTGTGGACGGCGTTTTCGCGAGCCCTGGTTCCTACGTAGCCACATGAAGACGCACAACACAAAGGTAAAACCAAAGAGTGACTCGTACCTTCCAGCTACTGTCAACGAGGTGGCGCAGGATGAGTCCAACTTGGTGAATGAAGTGTGTGTGTATGAACTCTGTGCCAAGTGTGGTAACTTCTTCCATGACCGCCAGAGCCTGCAACTGCACGAGCAGGTCCACAGAAATATTGAGCAGCCTCCTAACAATACCTCCTGCAGTGAAAAGGACTTCACATCTGCCACTAAGACAAGCTTCTTGGAAAGCCTACACTTAAAACCAGCAGGAAAGGAAGAGAACCCTATTGAAGGAACTCTAGGGAAAAGAATTCCAGAGCTCGATCCAGTAAGTAGCTACCAGGCTTGGCAACTGGTCACCAGAGGCAAACTGGTGGAGGTATCTGAGAAGAGCCTGGGTTGGGAAGAGAGGTTAGCCGATGCAGATGTAGCATATGACAGGGGAAAGGGCGAGAACGTCTTGACCAGACAGGACAAGCGGAAGAAATCACTCGATGCGACTGTGAGTATCCCAACCAAGAAAAGGAGAGGGGCTGGAACCCAAGGCTCCAACACAGATCAGCACAGCAATAGAGAAACAAACAGCCAGGTCCTGACAGGTGAGCGAAGCCCGGAGAATCTGAGTGACTCAGAGTACCGGCCTACTTCTCGTCCTAGCCGTAAGAATTCCCAGAAAACCTCAGAGTGCTTGGAGTGCGGAAAGGGCTTCCGCACACAGCAACAGATGGTGATCCACATGCTCATCAGACATGGTGGCTTGGGTGAAACCATTGGTGGAAATGGACTGTTCCGTAAAGCAGCTTCCAGCCCATCTAAAGCAGGGGAATCAGCAGGACACTTCAGGGATCAAAGGCGGACAGGGTTATTTGGGGACACAGGTAAGGGCATCTTCCTTTTTTTGAGATTTAATCCCTGTTCAAGATGGTGCAATCTTAGAAATGTGTTTTTAGTTTGAACATTTGTTATAACTTCAAGCATCACTTGAGTGCATATCATAACCTCCGTTCTGCCTACCTGTTTGTAACAATTACCAATGCAATGCTGTGCAGATGCTTACATAGATTTTGCCTTTATATTAAATTGCTAATGTTAACATTCACCACAAGGAATTCCATTCCATCATTTGAATCTGTTCATGGGTTACCTATTTACAGTGTGTATTGTACACTATGGGTCCTCAGTATTGCTACTATAAATCCACTTTATTGTAGAAATGTCCTTTTCTATCCCTGTTCAACACCTTTTTTAGTTAACCTAAAGACCTTGATTAGTTGTTTCAGGTGTGTTCGATTAATTTACATTTGGAATTAATTTTACTCATGCCGAAGTGTGACAGTGCTCCAAACAATGTGTAAACTTCACAACAGGTACCTGGTACCTGATCAGAAATGACACTGGGAAGATTAAGTAAAGGATTACAGTAACATTTATAAAGCAGGTTTATCTGCTGTAGTCACCTTTGAAATTACAGTTGAGCGCTTTTATAGTTATTGATCCTACTCTTGTGGACCCACCTTCCTTAATCCACCGAATCAACCAACAAACAACTGAAAGGAATTTTATACCAGGTACCAAAGGAAGATCTCCAGGTATAGAATAAGAGAACGGCTGGTGTCTGTATGATATACTGCTTCTGAAGTAGGACAGAGACACCTTGTGGACAAATACTGCGGCGCATTTTAACGTGTTCAGTTGTATTGTACTGTTTGTGCATAGTACAGTAGCTTAAATTTTCATTACATAATGATATGTACATAATTGATATCAAATAGAGAGCATGTTCTTAGATTTCAATTTAAGAATTAACATATTTTAAGCTTTATGAACAAAATCCCTATCAAGTATAAAAGTATTGTGATTTCCATATGTAGTACCCATAGTTTGTTTGGTCTTCTGCATCAAAGCTATAATTAAATAATAATGTTTAAAAAAAAAAAATACATTTGTTGTAAAGGACCTAAAGACAGTTAGTTATTGACTATAGTCAAAGGATTAGGGAAATTAAAAAAACAACAACATTTTAGTCTCAATTGTGTGTCACTTGTTCATACACTTTACATCTGTCTTCAGACTAAGTGAGATATTTGAACCATAGCATAGTTTAGTTATCAAGGTGCAAAACCAGGCTCTGATTTGCACAATCTTTTGCTTGTAGCTGGTGGTGTCCAGCCCTCTTTGTATGATGCTATTTCTGGACTTCCTGCCTCAGGAAGGCAAGCTCTAAAGATTTGTCTTTTTTCCACTTTCCACATCTTAATGCAGACCTTCAGTTAAAACACAACACTAAAATCACTAAAAAAATACTGCATATGGGAGGTATTTCAACAAAGCCAGTAAGCATAGAGCACTGAATCTGTCCTGATGATTGATAAGTCTCGTCAAATTTAGTGAAATCATTGGGTGTTGTATTCATAATCTGAGAGATTGGCCCTGTGTTACCACAAGGTTAAGAAAAATAAATTGCCTTAAACAAAAGATGCCCTCTTAGGACTTAACACGGATGGAATGTTCCAGAACATAGGTTTCATTGTGTAAGAGTTAAAACAGATGTCCAATCACTGCTGATATTTTAATGAAGGTGTGAAGACTATAGAATGGTCAGCACACAATTGATCTCCTCCAAAAGGTTCATTATCGTACCACATTATACTTAGAATATGATAGTTCCTCTCGTAGCCTTTGTAAGGCAGAAAGAATTTAGGGAAGCAGTTATGGTCATTACGTTTGTGTAAGGTTTATCTCAGCGGACCCCCTCTCCGAATTGGCTCAAAAGTAACCTCAGAGAGAGTGGATTGAAGGCTGCACAGCAGCTAGTGTAAGCCACCAAATGGAATCCAGATGGAGAGAGAGAGAGAGAGAGAGAGAGAGAGAGAGAGAGAGAGAGAGAGAGAGAGAGAGAGAGAGAGAGAGAGAGAGAGAGAGAGAGAGAGAGAGAGCACTACTGAGAGATTGCAGACATGTTAAACGTAAACAAACATCTTGCTGACAGATGAGGAGAGGTAGTCCCAGGCAAAGTTCCCAGGCCCAGTAGTCTATTGCTCCATTGTACTAATGTTAAACAAACTGTGTACGATTGTGCTACCACCATTAAGTTTTTTTGATCTTGTGTAACTATGTAGATTATTAGTTTCATTTATATGTTATGCAATGCCATAAACATACTCATTACAGAGTTTTCACTGTCACACATTAAATGATATGTTTTATTAGACATATTAGAAAAAATGTCTTATTATTGTCGATGCTTAATACTTTTGCGGAAATGTTATTTTTTTAAAGAATTTATTTTTGAAAGTATTTTCTAGCATTTTAAATGTCTTTACTGTTTCTTGATAAAAAAAAACATTGCATATGTGTGTGTAATATATATATAAACACTATATAAAACTTATGTGCAGGATTAGTACATTGTACTGTAAATTTACATGGTTATGTGGTGCCATCTTGTGGTGATTCTCTAAAATAGTTTTCACTGTCAGTATCTAAAATCAGTGTTATTGTGATTGCTAGCTTTTATACTTTCAGAGACTTTTTGCTATTGTTATATAGTTACAAATCCCTGTGTGTTGTTTTCATGACAGATAAAAAGCCATACACCTGTGAGCACTGTGACTTTTGCACCTCGGAGCCCTCGGCCATCGCTGCCCACGTCCAAACGCATCATTTGGCGATCAGGGACTGGGGCCAGAGGAGTGATGCCTTAACCAGCTCACTCAGCCAAAGCCAAACTCACCAAACGAGCCACACAGGCTTCCCAAGGCTGAGAAATGCCCTTCTGCAGCAGCCGTACTGGCCCTACACCACCTCAACTCACCTGGAGAGGGCAGCACTGAGCGACGCCGCTTCAAAGACGGAGGATGAAAAGAGCAAGGGGTTGAAAGAAAGTAGCGCCACTGATAAAGTGGATGCTAATCTGCTTAATCTCTCCATTGAAGTGGATAACGAAAAAGAAGGGGTTTCTTCGACACTTTTGAACAGTTTGGTCAGACACCAGTGTCCTTATTGCTCTTATGCAACACTGTATCCAGAAGTCCTCTGGATCCACCAACGAATTGCACACAAAGTAGACAGCACTACGTTGGTGCCTAAGTGGGCCCCAAGGAACGGCCTCAAGGGGCCAAAATCGCTTCTCGATTTCAAGAGGCGCACCGGGCCACCTCCCTTTCTGGAGGGTAAGGACTGCCCGTCTCTGCCACAGATGAGAGCTTCCCGAACGAGTCCACCTGATTGCAGCCCTGGAGGGACAAAGAAATCAAAACCTCAGACAAGTAGCATAGAGTCCAGCTCTTCGCAAAGCAAGAGCTGGCACGCGGCCACAGCACCAGGGGCACAATCTCACTCGTCCAAACAAAAGACCAGCAAGTCCAGGACGAGTGATTTGGCAGGCAGTAAACACAAAGCAGACGTCCATCAAAATAGCTCATCGCGGCTCACGGCAAGTCCTCAGAAGACTGGAACCCCAAAGACAGGAAGCAGAGTCATGGGAGAAGTCTGCTACCTCAAGAAGGACTTCATTTTATGCTCTCTAGCAAACACAACCTCTCGGATCAGAGGGACTCCAAAGCCCATGCTCCTCAGACCCCTGGTAGGTCGGATTCTCAAGCTCAGGATACGCCGTCCGTGGCTGGGTATGACCCCTGGAGCAGACTTGGCTCGAGTGGCCCATCCTCTAACTCCCAGTCCAAGAGACAGTCAAAGGCGGATGGTCCAGAAGCTGTGACGGACATCATGAGCTTCTTGAAGAACTGCAGTCCTCATGATTTAGCTGCCCTCTACCACCACTGGGGCTTCAGCAACACCATTGCAGAGCAAGCAGGTAAGAGGCTGTTAGTGTGGGTGTTTGAAAGTAAAACCACTATCATAGGATGCTGTTTGACCTGTTATTTTATTCCATTAAGCTAATATTAGTGGCCCCAAACGGTATTTGGACCCTCAAAAATGTACGAGTTCACAAACATGCAATTTGGTCTGATTTTATGATCTAATTTAATGACTCATCAGTGCAATGATGATACATTGAGCATATGAATAGGGATTTGTGTGTACTGGACTGTGCTTTACTTTAGCCTATTTCTCTTCTTCTATAAGTTAAGTCAAGGAATCTTATCAATTAGCTTTACAATGGGATGGTGCACACTGGACTTCCATATTCTCCTGTATCACTTGTGATTAAAGGAATAGTTCACTTTGAGATTAATTTTTGGTATGGCATCCAAGATGTAGGTGTCTTTGTTTCCGCAGTAGTTTCAATTTTGGTATTTTTTAGGTCAAACCGTTCCGTCTGTCAGTCATATAATGCAGGTCTATGGTCACCACCTCAAAGAGCATGCACAGAGAAGTCCAAATTAAACATGATTTAATGACTCGTAAATGTAAGTACACATGGCCTAAGACACGAGCGGTTTGTGTGAGAAAACTAACAGTATTTGTATCGTTTTTACCTCGCCCGCGCCCTCAGATCACTTGGACTTGGCTGTGGTTACAAGAGGTAAAACGATATAAATACTGTTAACCGCTCGTTTTGTGTCTTAGGCCATCAATGTGTACTTACATTTGTGAGTCATTAAATCATGTTTAATTTGGACTTCTCTGTGCATGCTCTTTGAGGTGGTGACCATAGACCTGCATTATATGACTGACAGACAAGAACGGTTTGACCTAAAAATATCAAAATAGAAACTACTGCGGAAACAAAGACACCTACATCTTGGATGCCCTTGAGGGAAGCTAAAACATAACAAAAAATGTATTTCAAAGTGAACTATCGCTTTAAATCATCAAAAATGGCAAGATGTGCATTCATTAAGCCAAATCCTACATTTACTGTACATACCTCAGTCAAGAACCTAAAACCTTCAAATGTAACTACAAAAAAAAATCACAAATCACAAATATTAGTAGTTATTTAGTGACCAATATTAATACCTAGAGAGCAGGGTGGTCAATATAGTCAATATACACCAGAATATATACAATTGAATAATATAAAATAAAATGTACAAGACACATTTGTTAATTTGCAAGTAAAATATAAAGCAGTTGTTTAATATTTGTAATATTATCCATTGACAAAGCTTTTCGTTTCAGATGATTGCTATTTAGAAGGCCTAAATCTAGAGATATAATATATTGGAATGGGTATTAAAGTTTTTTTCAATTATTATTACTATTATTATTATTATGTATTGGTATCTGTCAAAATTGGATATGTATTTATGCATGCTCATTTCCCAAATTTGCATTTTAATTACCTTTGCTATCATCTGATGCTCACTTAATGTTAATCTTTAATAACACTAATGATTTAATCACACTTTTATTGGATTGTTTTTGCAAATGAAAATCCATTTTTCACATTGTACATTATAATGATGTGATGCTTAAATTCACCAGTAGCATTAAAAACAATTGATTTTTAGTTTGAAGTGTTTTGTTTTATAAGTTATTCAGACAAATGTTTTAAGTGTCAGAACGATCCCAATAACACTTACTTCACAGGACCATTGTAACATTGAAAAACAAGTAAAGATTGACAGGCTGAAAACTGGTTGTCAGGTCACAGTACCTGAATTATTCAGCAAAGGCACATTAACTACATTTACTCCTGAGCTGAAATGACAAATGAGAACGGTGAGGGCTAAAGTGGCACATCGCACCCCACATGCCATTGTGTCAGCATGCGCATACGCAAAGGTTAATGGAACTATTGAGTAATCTCTTCATCATCATGTAACCTACGAAAGTGTGTAAAAACATTTCAGACAGCTATCGCTGAGAGGCATTCCGAGCCTTAAACATCACGCTCGTAACAGCACGCCGGGCGCTTTCTGAGGGGTTACAGCGCCTCGATGCCACAAATATGCAAAGTAGCCAACTCAACGAGTGAATGTACGAAAGAGCAAGAGGAGTCAAATTAAGCCACCAGCTGCTTTGAAAAATATTTTCAAATGCTTTTTTTTTTTTTTTCCTCATTCCACTTCATTTAAGGACATTTTGCCAGGCGGTGGTCCAGTTGGCCGGCTTCAGCGAGTGTAGTTCTGCGGAAAGACAGAGAACATTTCTGTCAACTGTCTGGCCTGATATCATCAGCGCTCTCTTTAGCCCTTTGAGTCACATACAATAAAGTGACCTTTCCAATATTAGACTATCCTTTTGTTTGCGCCGTCCGCTGCTTTTCCTGTTGCGTCGCTCCTGTATGGTAATAACTCACAGACTCATGTTTACCAAACGTAGCCTTGCTTACCACTGCCACCAACACTCTAAGTCACGGCTCAGCGCTACGACAAAGCTTGGCCCGAGGGGTCGGAGCAGGTAGGACCACCAGTGCCAGGTGACGGACAGGAGCCAAAGGGACAGCATTTCAGCTCGCGCTCTTAAAGCGCCCTGAGGGGAAACGAATGCCGGTTGCTTCAGGTTCCACATCCGTTCCTGTTACTTCAGCGAGTCCTTCACCGACGCGCACGTGTCCGAGCGATTCCCCTCGCGCGGACGAGGGCTGACATAGCTAGAGCGACGGGCAGGAAAAGAGCAGTGAGAGAGAGAGGGAAGGAGACAAGGAGAGAGGGAGGAAGGGGAAAGCAGCACACCTGACATGTGACATGGTAGCGCAGATGGGGGCACATCACAGGGCAAGGCTTTTAATTCACTGTAATTTATGCGGTCACATGGGCCTGTGTTCATGTCAGGCTGTCAGAGATGCTCTGGTGATGCGGCATGACAGCTCCCCATCCAAGCCCTGAAGGTAGCCTCCCATAATGACACATAAAACATACTAATGATGCTCTCTCTCTCTCTATCTCTCCGTCTCCTAACCTCTCTATCTGTTCTGTGGAAGTTCAGCTACATGTTTTTCCTATTAATTTCCATTTCTCTGTTTGTGTTTGTGAACTGTAGGGTTGGCGAGGTCAGGGTCTCAGCAGGGGGAGTATGTGTGTCCGGTGTGCAGGAAAAGCTTCAACCAGCCCAGCCATTACCGTACGCACATGAGATCACACACAGGTGAGATACACACACTAAAAACAAACGTTGGGAAGCAACTAACTGAAACTACTAACTACATTTTTTTTTTATTAGCGTCTCCACTCACAAAATACCTTTCTATTAAAAATGCTGTTTTTGTGTCAGTTTTATCATTATAAATGTAATAACATTCAAAATTATAAGACAATTCATGCAATAAATTGTAGTGTAGTCCTATTAAACACTGCTTTTAATGTTACATTATATATTCTTTATCATTGTAAATATAGATACTTTACAGATACAACATACTTTATCCATTAAGCAAAAAAAAGTAAATTAATATCAGTGTTTAATTATTTTATAAATACTTTTACACCAAAGTCAAGTTGGATTAGACAGAAGCTACTAAATGATTCCTATATATTACCATAAAAATTTCTAGGGCTGTCAAATGATTAATCGTGATTAATCGAATCCAATCGAATGTGTTTACATAATATATGTGGATGCACTGTGTATAATTATTTTGTATATATATAAATACACACATGCATGTATATTTAAGAAAAAAATATATATTATATATAAATCTATATACAGTATATACATGAAAATATTTCTTAAATAAATACAAGCATGTGTGTGTATTTATATATAAAATAATTATACACAGTGTTCCCACATATATTATGTAAACACAAACTTTTATTTTGGATGCGATTAATCGCAATTAATCATTTGACAGCCCTAAAAATTTCATATATATATATTTAAATGTGCATGTATGTGTTTATGTGCAAAGTGTGTGTGTGTATGTATAACGAGCGATTTCTCTCTGTCCTTGAACGAGAGTCTTCTTTCTTTCCGCCGCAAACATATTTGCGTGTGACTCTGACCTGTGAAAATTGTATACATTATTAATCAGATGTCACTTATGGAGCTGTAATTGTGCATGCTAATAAGCTGAGCAGTCACCAGTCCAGTATGATATGTGTCAAATGCTCACTGAGAAAATGTGACAGTTTGCCCTTGTCTTCTCATCAAACCACACACACACACACACACACCTACTCAATCTGGGGTCTTTTTCATTTCATCATAGATAAGATTCTATCCATCATCCTTGTTCAACAACAAACTTTCATACGCCATAATAAATCTATAATGAGGTTGTGCGCCATTGAATGTTTACATAAACAACTAGGGGCTTGTTAGGATTCATTGTCATTGTAATCTACCAACTGGAATCACCTTTTCTATTAGTATTTAGTACATTTACCTCCAGTTTACTAAAGAGATCATTTTTAGAAGTAAAAAAAAAATGTTTTGAAGACTGTGAAGGTTGTGCATACTATCCAGACTGATCCCCAGTGACAGAGGCCAAATGCTACATTTTACAAAGCGCTCTCTCTGTCTCTATGCACATAGACTTACAATCGACGTCATCAGTGATTGCTCTCTTCAGTGTGAGCTTCCAAATGAAGCGGGGCAGGGGCCCCCGGCCTCCATTAGCATGCACACTAACTCTGTGTGTCACTTTAAATTGGTAGTTTCAGTTCACTGTCTGCTGTGGCCACGCTAACTGGTGATACTAATTCAAGGCCTTTACGGCTAATGCTCGATGAGAGGGTGGATTCTTGGTTTGCACCTTTTAAAATGGATTCCTGCTTTGAGGATGCTCAATACTTGCTTCAAATTTGACCATTAAAAGCAGGAACATCCTTTAAATCAACGTGAAACTTTGACGTGCCAGTAAAACAGGGTAATCAGCGAGATAAAAATATATATATTTTTTTTTTTTTCAGCCCAAATGATTGGGCCGTGAAAAGTGGTTTATATATTTCAGAA